TTTATTCGTAGTCGTTGCCCGACTGACGTAATACGCACACTTCATGGCCTTGGCGCATCCCTATACCGCCAAGACAGTGGCAGAGCAGTTCGTGACATGAGTCGTCCTCCACCATGGATTTTCACGAACCATTGTAAATGACCGTGATCCCATTTTCTTGAGTAAATTTTGGTAGGAGGTGTTTGTTATGCCGAAGAAGGCTCTGCGGATGAGTTCAGTATATCATCCGCAAACAGATAGCCAATCGGAGGTCATTAACAGGCACTTGGAGCAGTATCTGTGGTGTTTCGCGCATCAGCAGCCGCGAAGTTGGTTGTGGATGATTCCATGGGTGGAGCTGTGGTATAATACCACTTACCACCGGGCGATAAAGACGATTCCCTTCGAGGCCTTGTATGGGCGGCTTCCTCTGTCGCTGGTGAGGTACAGGAAGGGGAACAGTCTGGTGGATGCGGTGAATAGATTGATGGTTGCTCGGGACGAGGCTCTCACTTAGTTGAAGAACAATTTGGCGGCTGCCAACAACAGAATGAAGCAGATTGCGGATGAAGGTCGGCGCGAAGAGGAGTTTCAAGTGGGAGATAGTGTTCTACTGTGGCTGCACCCTTATCGACACCATTTTGTGTTCAAGCAGTTACATCAGAAGTTTGGCTGCACGATATTTTGGACCATATGAGGTTATCAAGAAGATCAATCTGGTTGCCTACATGTTGCTATTGCCGGATGGATCCCACATCCATCCGATGTTCCATGTTTCATTACTGAAATGCTACCTGGGGGCGGTGGTCTGGAATTCATTAAATGCACAGTCAGTTCGTACTGCAGTCAGTCTCCATACTAAGACGACCATGTAGCCGTTAGTCTTTTATGTTAGGCGGTATTCTGATGTCTTATTCAAAGACCGCTTCCCGTATTCCCTAGCGCGCGTGTCTATCCGTTTGGGCTTGGCCTGATTGTTCTGTGGGCTTTTATGATCATGGGCATGGTGGCCCACTTGTCTCAATACTTGGCCCATATATATCTTTATAGGCTACTTATAAGAGCAATAGATAATTTGTTTTTTTTTTTTTTTGTGAAACCAGAGCACTAAGGGCGCTCTAACCTTTATTGAAAACGAATAATATGGGGTGTCATAATCCCCACACGATCAAAGTGCAGCCAATATAAAAGAGACGTACTTGGTCTATCAAATCTATGTAACCCAAACGAATAGGTGTGGCCTATGGATGCTAAATGGTCCGCGACAAAGTTCTCCTCACGGAAAAAATAATCAATCCTTACTGTTCATGATCGCTTAATCCATTGCCTGATCTCTGCTACCTGCGTGTAATGTGGGTGGTGTGGTGTCGCAGTCTCAATCAGGGACTTCGCAGTCGAAGAGTCTGTCTGCAGGATAACTTTCCTGGGTCCCTCTTCCCAAGCAAGCTTCAACCCATACATAACCCCAGCCAGTTTCGCATGTGTGATCGAACCCCCTCCAAGGTTCGGCGTGAAATCTCTAAGAAACCGGCCATCATCTCCCCGCATGACGCTGCCACAGCTCGTGCTCGCAGGAGAGGAACTGACTGAGCCATCACTGTTAATGTAGACCCAGTCTTGTGTCGATGGTTGCCAGCCAATGTGATGCTGCTCTAGGGGTCCCCCGTCCCCGAATATGGTCCTCTCCTTTTCCAAAGCTTTAAGGATTTATCTCGAAGTTGTCTTGCCTAGACCTGGGTTTGTGTATGGGTCTTCAACTCACCTCAGAATAGGAAGCCATTCCTCTTACTCCAAAGAAGCCAGCACATCACTGCAAAGAGTGTGTCGTCGATAATGGTACTGCTCCCTGAGAGGTAGTAGTGCATCCATCTGTGGATGTTTGGTTCAAAGAATCGGTAGTCTGGTTCGTTCTCAAGAAGCCCTGCCCAGGTAGCTCGAGCATAGGGGCAGTCGCGGATGACGTGGAGCGCCGTTTCCGGACCACCACCGCATATCTTACAACTTGTGTCCGAGGTCAGATGTCGCCGGTTCCTTTCAACGTTGGTGAGCAACCGTTCGTGGTTCAGCAGCCATAAGAATGCGCGGACCCTCTGCATGGCCGGAGCTCGCCAGTTTGACCGCCAAACAAGTTGACTATGGTGGATGGTCTCCGCTGTGTCCGTCAACGCGTACGCTGTCCAGAGGGTGAAGTCGCCCCGAGGAGAGAACCGCCACAACATCACATCTTCGTCATCCTCCGTCGGGACGGATGAAGAAGGACCTGCAAAACAACATGCTCTGGTAAGTAGTATCGAAGAAAGGCATCATTCCACTTATAACATTTTTTATAGAGTAAATACAATTCAATAGCCAAACTTTTCACTTAAAACAATATAATAGCCAAACCTTTTCAAAAACAATTTAATAACCAAACCGTCAACTTTTCGTCCGGTCAACTGTTAGTTGACTATGTCATGACAGTTTTGTTGCTGAGTTGGATATCAATGGGTGACGTGGCAAAGAGAAAATCATTTGACTACGCCACATAGATATTTATTAATTTATATAATTATTATTTTAATAAAAATAAACAAAAGTAATCCACTCTTTTGCATATTCTTCTTTGATCGTCTTTTTCCTCAACAATTGACCAACGAACTTCCGACCTGAGTCCATGAAATTAAGTTTCCCCTCCTTCAACCTGAGCCCATATATATGGTCAACTTCTAACAGTAATAGATAATTATTTTTGTACTTGTATTTTGTAATATTTGAACTTATAATTTTTATAGGATAAATATAATTTAATAGACAAATTTTTCATTTTAAACAATATAATAGCCAAATATTTTAAAAAATAATTTAACACGCAAATCGTCAACTTTCTGTCCGGTCAACTATTAGTTGACTCTGACATGACAGTTTTGTTGCTGAGTTGGATATCAATTGGTGATGTGGCAAAGAGAAAATCATTTGACTACGCCACATAGATATTTTTTAATTTATATAATTATTATTTTGACAAAATAAAATAAGAATAAACAAAAGTAATCCACTCTTTTGCATATTCTTCTTCGATCGTCTTTTTCCTCAACATAAGTCCATGAAATTAAGTTTTCCCTCCTCCCACCACCTCTTTCTCGCATAACCCAAAATCCCACAGAGTAATCATAATCTAGTAAGCAACCTCGAGACAACAAGAGTCCCGAAACCGAAAATGATGGTTGAATTAATCTTATAAGTTTCCTTCTCTCAATCGTCACCGCCACCTCCATCGACAAAAGCAAAAGAAAGAGGGTCGAGATCTTGAAAATCAATATCCTTCAAGGCTCAAGGGAACCACTTGTTCCTTTTCTTCAGTCAAAGACACGACGATGACTCAGCTCTTTTTTTTTTTCTCCTTCTAGAGCGAATGGAATTCAGGAACGGGCGCGCGCGGCCAGGGAGACAAGGGTGGAGGTAGCATGTAAATAGGGTGTTCCATGGCACACATTTGGATTGGGACTAGAACATCAAAAAATAGGTGTATTAGTTTATACTATAACTAGGATTTGAACATGGAACCCCCATATTATTAATTTTGTCATCTTCCATTAAACTACAATTACTTATGTGATACACCAATATGTTTTATTGTATATATATAATTAATTGTATCCTTATTCAAGCAGTAATCAGAACGTTAGCTCTAACAAGCAAGACTTCTCCCAGTCCCACCTTTCATCTTCCTTCGTTCTCCTTTCCCCTTCGTCAATGAACTACGTGAAAAACACTCTTCGAAGTGGAATGAGTGACGATATCATGAATGATTTTTTGGTAGGATACATTGAGAGTGACATTCTTGATAGTCTGGATGATGAATGTATTTTACAGAGTTTTCAAACTATGAGAATTCGTCATGGGCCACCCTTAAAAATTGATAGTCGCTTTAATTTTTTTAAGTTGACACCTCCTTACCCAAAATCCTGGCTACGCCACTGCAGGGAGATCGTCTAGAAAGGCTGAGGAGGAAGAAACGGAAGAGTGCGACTGTTTTTGTGGGACTAGAAGGAAGAGGAAGGAAGAAGAACAAGTGTGAAGGCAGCGAAGGAAGATTCTCCTAGGCGAAGCAGAGAACAGGAGTAACCTATATCTGGAATTCAGTAGCTACTCTTCGGGCGACGGTCTCCACAAGGTATCCCCGTTCCACCAAGTGTAACAAAACTCTCTTCCTGATCCTCGCCGTCAGGTGAATGTCGACCGCAAAAACGTCCAATACTCGGGATTGAAGCGCCAAAGCTAACGGCCGCCAGATTGCGTCCACAGTTTGTGAGCCACTCAATGTGCCTAAGAAGGAAACGCAAGTGGGATTGTGGACGCAGGCTGCACGATATGGAGGTCAGCTATGGCGGCAACGCAGAGGGAAGCATCGGAGGAGAATTTGTTGAGGAAGAGGTCGTAGAGGAGAGTGGAGAGTGATCGCTTGGAGGGAAGAATTAGAGAGGGTTGTGGAGTATGTTTTTTTTTAATGTTATTTTTTTTGAAAAAATTTTATTTAAAATTAATATATATCTATGTGGCAGAGTCAAATTATTGACTTTTAGCCATGTCAGCTTGTATTGACATGTCATATTCAACTAACGATTGACCGGACAGAAAGTTGATGATTTGGCTATTAAATTATTTAAAAAAAATTTGGCTATTATTTTGTTCTAAAATAAAAGGTTTGACTATTATATTGTATTTATACTTTTTATATTTATTTTCTATCACAAAATTATTTTTTATATATGTTGTGCTTGTAGTCTACCGATACTAAAATACATTAGGTCCAACACGACCCACTTATAAATCGTGTCGTGCCAGCACTCGTGTCCGTATTCATAAAGTTTAGATCTGACACAACTAGTAAATTATACCTGCTCTGGTCCATATATTTCGTAAGCGTACTGATACCGATGCCGTGTTCTAACTTCTAACCATCCCAGTGCTAGCTCGTGGGCCGCCCGGCCCGGGTACACTCAAAAGACTCACCTATATTTCATTAAGAGCCCAGCCCAGCCCAAAAAGAGAAAAATGCAATCCCCCGCCATCGCACAATCATGGCCGTCCGTTTTTTTTCCGGAGCTAGTGGTCACTATTTGAGTTTCTCTCTACGTGTACCTACAATCATCACAAAGCATACACAGCATCTCAACCGTCCGACGAGCATAATAACCGATCTCCCACTTTCCGGTAGAACGACCCTTCGCTCCTCTACGTGGAGCGTATGATAATCACGAATACCTTTGCCGCCTCCACCGTCAGATCTCCATCATAAAAATCATTTCCCCGTCTCTCAGGCGGCATAGCGAGGGAGCTCTCCATTTTCACCTCATTTCCTCGATCTTCACATCCCGATCGATTCCAGACCGCCGGAAACATCACCGGACGCCTCCGACGTTTTGCCCATATGGTAAGTCTCCAGGGCTTGCTCTCTTTTTTTCGCTGTTTGGCTGTAGAATTCGTCTCCGATTCAACTTTGGATCGCTGTTGATCTTAGGGTTTTTGGATTTTGTTCTTCTCATTTCTTTTGCCTGTTCGACGGTACTGTTGAATTGATGGCTGTGTGAGTAGAAGTTGGGTCTCGGTTGGATCTGGTTTATTGTGTTTATGGCATTCGTGTGATATCAATTTTCTGAATTGGGAGTAGTATTAGGCGTTTTCTCAATACTTAGTTCCAGCGAACGTGACGCTGGTTATCAGGAGACGGCATTGAGAGTATCTCAATGTTTGGGATAGCCTGTAGTAGACTGAAGCACTTGGCTTTGCCGAAATTAACAGCAGTTTCAGCTTTAACTTTAAGAATCCAGATTGAGAAGATTCTGTATCCTTGTATATTGCTACTGACCTTGGTATCAGTTCTTTTGCTTGATCATCTGGTTAGCTCGATTTGTATGGAACTACTCCCCTTTGCCAGTGTTCTATGGTATTAATACATACAGAGTGCTGAAGTAGGACAGTGACAATCAGGTTTTAAGTGGAGCTATATGTTCGTGTTTGGCTTGGAAGAAGATGGTAGAAAGTGGAATTGACAAAAGCAAGTACTGGGGAGTTCTCTAGTAAATCGGTCTAAGATGTTATATAAACTTCTAAAATTGAGTTGAGGTTTAAATTGTGGCTTTCCCCCATGACTTACTTTCATGTCATCAGAAGTCTTTGAGAGATTTTATTTTTCCTGTGTTCTGAATTGTGATGGACGTTTATGCTGAGGCAGTTGTGGGACTTGAAAGCAATTCCAGCATTGATGGGTTTTTTAATCTTTATTCTAAAGAATATGAACGGAATATCATGCCTCATATATTGCTAGGAAATTTAAGTACCAGTTCTGTTTGTTGCTTTATCATTCAGCCAACTTTAAGCTCTATTTCTACGTGAACTCTACCCTATTTGATGGTTCTGAACTTCTGCTGTAGATTTGTATCCAGAGTACTGATATAAGGCTGGTCGGCAGGCTTAACTAGAGCTATGTGTTCTTTCTTTTTTCTGCACAGGCACCCATTAGGGGCATCCTTTCGATGCAGAGAGCAGTGTTGGCTCATCATCAAGCTAACAAACTCCCTCTAGCCTTCCGATCATTAAGCACACAAGCTGCAAGCAATGCCAGCACACCACAGCCACCTTCACCACCACCACCACCTCCTGAGAAGACCCATTTCGGTGGCTTGAGTGACGAGGATCGCATCTTCACCAACTTGTATGGACTCCACGACCCTTTCCTCAAAGGTGCAATGAAAAGAGGTGACTGGTACAGAACCAAGGACTTGGTCCTCAAGGGCACCGATTGGATAGTCAACGAAGTAAAGAAATCCGGCCTCAGAGGTCGTGGTGGGGCTGGTTTCCCCTCGGGACTCAAATGGTCATTCATGCCCAAAGTCTCTGACGGCCGCCCTTCCTATCTGGTAGTCAATGCCGATGAAAGTGAACCGGGAACTTGCAAAGACAGAGAAATCATGCGTCATGATCCCCACAAGCTGCTCGAGGGCTGTTTGATTGCTGGTGTAGGAATGAGAGCTCGTGCTGCATACATCTACATCAGGGGTGAATACGTAAACGAGCGTAACAACCTGGAGATCGCAAGGAAAGAAGCGTATGCTGCCGGACTTCTCGGCAAAAAACGCCTGTGAAACAGGTTACGACTTCGATGTTCATATCCACTATGGGGCTGGTGCTTACATTTGCGGAGAAGAAACCGCTCTTCTAGAAAGCCTTGAGGGGAAGCAAGGCAAGCCAAGGTTGAAGCCGCCTTTCCCTGCCAATGCAGGACTCTACGGATGCCCTACTACAGTGACAAATGTTGAGACAGTCGCGGTCTCTCCCACTATCCTCCGACGTGGGCCTGAGTGGTTTGCTAGTTTCGGAAGGAAGAACAACTCTGGAACAAAGCTGTTCTGTGTCTCTGGCCATGTGAACAAGCCATGCACAGTTGAGGAAGAGATGAGTATTTCCTTAAAGGAGCTCATTGAACGACACTGTGGTGGGGTCCGCGGTGGATGGGACAACTTGCTGGCTGTTATCCCAGGTGGGTCTTCGGTCCCGTTATTGCCAAAACACATATGTGATGACGTGTTGATGGATTACGACGCATTGAAGAATGTGCAATCAGGATTAGGAACAGCGGCGGTGATAGTGATGGATAAGTCTACAGATGTTGTTGATGCGATTGCTAGGCTGTCGTACTTCTACAAACACGAGAGCTGTGGGCAGTGTACTCCATGTAGGGAAGGAACAGGGTGGCTGTGGATGATTATGGAGAGGATGAAAGTTGGAGATGCGAAGTTGGAAGAGATTGATATGCTTCAGGAGGTGACTAAGCAGATTGAGGGGCATACTATCTGTGCTCTGGGTGATGCTGCTGCTTGGCCTGTCCAAGGACTAATTAGACATTTCAGGCCGGAGCTCGAGAGGAGGATCAGGGAGCGTGCAGATAGAGAGTTGCTGCAGGCTACTGCTTAAAGTTCTATAAAGGTTTGCTCCTGCATCTCTGCTTACTTCTGTCCCAAATCGTATCTTTTACTTATCCAATAGCCTATCCATTGCTCAGCATAACTAGTCTGGTTTTGGTACCCATATTTCCATACCCACTTGAGGTTCAGGATGTAAATCAAATCCTGAGCTACGCCTTATTGGACACAGGGTAATTCCATGGGTACCACTATATATCCCTCCAGTTGAGTGTTACCATGTGGGATGTAGCCAGGTTCCGACGAAATCCATGAATGTGGATATTTTTGTCATCCCTAGTTTTGATATTCTCAAGTCAAGTGATCAAATCTGAGTCAATTGTACATTGCTGTCAGGATCATCAGTCTAAGTGCCTTCTGTTCTGCAGGAAAGTTTCGCTTGCGAGGGGGAGTTGAAGATCGCGAAATAAATCGTACCAACTACAAGTGTAATTCTCAGGTGGTGTATTCTCTCGACTGCAGGAGCAGGCAGTCATTAGTTGTAGTCTTCTTTTCTGTCTGGCATTTTCACATCAACTGTTACCAATTGTGGGTGATTTCACCGTCCCTGAGAAGAGTTCGCACATTGCTTCTATGGCGAAGGGGATGGTTGTTATTTTCTTACATATATATCTTGTTAGTTCTTCTGAAGGATTCTTTCAAAAGTTTGACGCTGTTAATAAGATGTGTAATGGTACACTATGATGACATCTTGAACGCATCATCTTAAGTCTTGAAATGGAGACAAAGAGAGTCGTGTGGTACTTTGTTTCTCTGAATCTGCGAGCTGGGTTTTTGGCTGTGACGTGACGTTCCAAGCATATGCCCATTTTTACCATTTTGGGGTTTCCTACCAGAATTCGAATGGACAGAATTTGACATGTGCTCAGCAGGTATGTGATTATATGCCTACTGGCAGGTGGAAAATGATTTGGTCCACGGAAGGTCGAATATTAATGTGACTCGCCTGAATTGAGGATGATAAATAATCATGGTTACTTAGGCCGCATTAATCTTGATTCCTAAAAATTTAAATTATCTGGATTTCATTATGGATTTGGTTCAGTTTTAGACCGAGTCGAATAATGACGACACATTATACTTGTTGTGATCATCTAATTATCCCCTATTTAGATTAAATAATGAAAATGGAATCAAAGTAAGAACTACAATATTGAATCAAGATGAGATGTAAAATAAATCGAGCATTGGATTGAATTTTATTAAAAGTGCATTTGCGGCCTGCGACGGCATTACAATACTAGCTTGTCAATCAACAGGGATATCATCAGCCACAGTCCACATGTTTTTCTTATTTATCTTTATCCTTAAAGATAATCGACGGAAAAATAGTAAATTATAAATAAAACAAATGTAATTTCCAACAAAAAAAAATTCTCATACTACAAGTATGTGTGTTTAAGTCCAGATAATATATGAGTAGATTATAGAGCTCATTACTCACATGCAGAATGAATGCTGGTGTCACATTAAAAAAATAAAGATAGATCAAAACTCTAGACGAAGATACATTTGATTGAATAAGCTAGAACGATGATGCAACTAGAGCTAAATCAAGTTGAGAAAGAAAGAGAAATTCCATGTCTGGAATGAAAATGCATTCAATTTGATATGTCTCAACCCGACTTTGATTTAGCATGGATAAATTTCAGTATTTTCAAATTCAATTAAAGGTTAAGGTATAACATTTTTAATGGTAGAATGAAAACTAACCTAAACAATATCTCAAATAAAAGCAAATCGTTAAGTAGTCGATTTTGATTTGATTTGTGACCCACTCCATCCACCCACCATATTTTCATTAGACAACAACAATTCTTATTATAGTTCCTTTCTTTTTCATTTTGTTGTTTCTAATGGTTTTGGTTGGTTCTATAATCTATATTCTTCTAATCATTGAATTATGTTAAATTAAATTATCACTTCATTATAAAACTAGTCCTTAATCCTTATACTTATCGTAATTGGCTTGGCGAGGGAAGGTAGGCAGGGCAGTAGCCATCAAAACACTTCCTACTCCCACCTCCACCGCCCAACCATCTCACGCCACGTCACTCCTCGTTCTGGTGTCTTCTTGTATTAGCGGCGGCCGAGCGAGCGAATTTCTATCCCCATCATTTCTGTTTCTCTTCCCCCGAAAATTCCTTCTCCCACCTTCTTTCTTTCTCTCCCACACAAAAACCAAAAATCCTCCGATGGCGAGAGGCCTCTCCTTCAGCCTGTCCGACGGAGAGGACTGCGGCGGCTGCTTCTCCCCCTCCTCCGCCGACAGCGGCGGCTGGGGAAGCTGGGGGTCGAGGCTGATCAGAAGAAGCCAGAAGAGATCTCCGCCGCCGCATATGGCAACGCTGGATCTCGGCCGGCGATCCGGCGGCGGCGGCGGGTCGAGTGAATTCGTGGGGGATGTGTTCTACGGGACGGATGATGCGGAAGGGATAGAGGATTACAAGTACAAAGAGGACGTGCTGGAGCATTACCGGAGGGAGAGCGAGAGGAAATCGGTGAGGAGGAAGAGGGAGATGCGGCGGAGCTGGTTCGGCGCCATTGTTGACTGCTTCTCGTTTCTCAAGTTCTTCTGCTGCTTGCGATGATGATCAAAAGATGCTCTCATCCAGGAGCTTCTGTGGTTGAATTGAGGGGAAATTGATTGTGAAAAGTTCAGAATCAGAAAATTCCCTTTTTTTTTTTCCATGAGAGACAAAGTTTGTTGTTCGTGTATATAATCTATCATCGTTAATAAATGGTATGGTGGGGATGGTTTCATCTGTGTTGAATTGCATTGATAAGAGTAGTTAGTTCTTTTTTTTTTTTCCCTCTCTAACCTTTGTTCCAATAATACAAGTTGTTAATCCAAATAATATCATATTAGTTCTTTAGAGTGGAATGTTCACGCTTTTGTTGATTAAGAGTGCATTTGATCGATAAGTTATTATAAGACAATTACTTCTTAAAATTCGAGTTTATTTAGAGGAGATATTCAATATGAAAGAGTTGTTTTGATAATTCGTTCGAATTCACAAAGTCAAGTGAATAATTTAATTTATTGTAATCAGAAATCGTTCGTTCAATTTGTAAACTACCACACACCGTTGCAAGAATGACTACGTGAAGTTAATGATATACCAAAATGTCCATTTACGATAAACCAAGTGGACTTACGAGTTAAAAAAAAAAAATTTAAATGCTTATTTATTTTCGAATTCCGTCAAATCGCATATCTTAATAACTCGAATTAACTTGAGAAACTCATTTTTGGTGGACTATAATCAGGAGGGCTGGAAATACAAGGCAATCTCCGCCACTCAAAAGCACCTTCCTTATAGCTTTGGTCCACAGCTTGAGCAAATCTATATAGCCAGCGAGCCATTAAGGTCAATTTGTACTAGAATGTGACCCACGCTAAAGATAAAAGCCAGCACGGACTCGGATGGAGACAGTCTTTCAATCGTTAAGTAGCTCACGTTTTCATCTCGAAACTGCTCAAGCAACAGGTTAAAGCTCCAACCAGGAAACAGAAACTAATTAGACTCAATCAGAAGCATTGATTACTAGATCACTTTTCAAAGTTATTTGCCACTAAACACTTTTACTACAGGTAATTGTTCTGATGAGATTGGTTACAAATTTCAAAATCGAAACTAACATTTCCTCATTCAAGGTTCAAAAGAATCTGTGTATGTGAATATCACAAGGGCAACAAGGAACAGAAAACTTGCATTCCACGAATTCGGCACCCCAGAATTGAACTCATCAGAACAAAAAGGCGAATAATGTAAACTATGATTTGCTTCCTCATTCACCTTGCTGAGGTTCCGAAACATCTTTACTTTGCATCTCCAGCAACTTCTGCACTTCTTCTGCTTCTCCTCCCTCACCCTCGGTTTCTTTCACCGTTACTTCTGCAGCAGCCTTAGGCTTATTGCTAGTAGACTGCTGGTACAAAATCCCACCCACCATACAAATCAGCAACCCTATGGTCCCAACGAACGTAGCATGCTTATCCCATATGACAAGATTAATCACCACAGTCAGTAGCTTGTTCACCACGCCGAGGACTGTATACCCAGTAGCAGAAATCGCCCTCCGACAGGAGAACCCAAAGAACGAGATCGCCAGACCAAAAAGACAAGACAGCCCCACAGGCAAAACGACCTCAAAGGAGTACCAATCACTCTCCTCGGTAATCTCATGCTTAATCTTCTTCAGCTCACCCATTATCAGCAACTCGAGAGGGAAAAGCATTAGCGCCTCGAGATTGTTGTACAAAACCAGCCCCCAGGTGTTCAAGCCAATGGTCATGACCACGTGCTTGATATACACGAAATCGACTGTCATGCTGATCAAGTAAGCTAAAGCCCAGCTGTAGGCAGTGAGGGTAAATTGGTAATCTGTGAGGACATAGAGGACGCTCCCACCAAAGATTGTGGCGAGGGAGAGCCAGGTTTTGAGAGCTGGCCATGGCTGGCGGAGGAAGAAGGACTCGCCTACTGCAACAAAGATGGGGACCACAGAACGGAATACAATGAAGGTGTCAACATTGGCATGGAGCAAGAGCTCGCTGTTGGTGAAGAGGGAGAGGTAGAACATGATTGCTGCTGGTAGGAATTTCCACATGGTTAGTAGGTTGAGCTTGTCATGTTCTAGGAGGTTGCAGGAGCCGAATAGCAGGACGCCTGCTGCGCTTGTGAAGTATTGGAGAGCAGTTAAGGCTCCTGGATACGGGAATTTCATGACCGCCCATTTGTTGAGGATAGAGAGTAAGGATGCTGAGATACAGTAGCCTGCTGCTATACCATAGAGAGATGTCTTCTCGAGTAAGTAACTTGACCAGGTAGACTTTACTTCATTGGATTTAGGGGAGCCTAGCGGAGCTTTCGGGTTCTCCACATCACCAGACATCTGAAGAAAGGGCAGAAGATGTGAAAACGTTGCTTATCTAGTGAAGTCATGTCAACTTACATTGCCATTTCCTAAAAGAACAAAAACTAAACAGAAACAAAGAGGACAACTTTTGTCCAGATTCCAGTAAACTCCCCAAGTAACCAGAGCTAAGGGCACTGTTATTTCTTCATGTAGCTCAAAGCCTCTCCTCAAACCAGAAAGTAAAGTTGAGCAAGAATTGCATCCTAATCTTGGCATTTGCTACAACCCTAATACAAACCCTCAAGACCTAATTTACTTTCTCAAAATTTCAGAATCACCTTTCAAGTATACACTATACATGATCTCTCTCTATTGCTTGATATGACGAGAAACACTGGATAACAGCAATATCCAGATTCCAGCACAAAACCACTAAGTTACCAGAGATCAGAGGACGAACTGCACAATGAAACTCAACCTATACAAAGTGGAAACAGTCTCCTCCAAAAGAGAACCAACGATGGAGTAAAAATGCAGCCTAAACTGGGCCTTTGCTACAACTTTAAGAAACCTAATCCAACTTCCTCTCAGTATCCCAGATCCTTTCCATAGCAATTTATCACCAGTTTATCAAGCAAGTAAAAAGGCCAGATTGCAAGACTAAAAACTACAGGGAAAAAAATAACAGAAACGCGAGGAAATAAAATCAAGAAGAGTCAGCTGGGACTCCTCGAGCAAGTCCAAATAGTTCACAACAAGATTGATTTGCACACAGCTGGGTAGATGCTTCCGAGCAAACAGCAATTGAGAAATTCCAAAGCCAAACTAAACCTCAACTAATGGAGAAATCGAAAAGGGAAATGAGAACTGTAGCTCTTTCGGTTTAGTCTGCCGACATTTTCTTTTTTCCCGGGAACCAAAACGTGCAGAAGATAGAGGAGAAAAAGGAGGAAAACGAAAGAGAGAAGTCTAGATTAGATACCTTCGGATCTCGCCGGAACGGTGTCCGAGCGAGCGGAGATGGGGCGGAAGAGGGGAAAAGAGACGACGGCGAGCAAGGGAATGGGGAAGGCCGACAAGCGAGGCTTGACGGAGATTTGTTTAGAGAGCGAAGGGAAGGGAAGGAAAGAAAGAGAATTTTTAAATCGAGCGCTCTCTAAGCAGAGGAGGCACATAGTTCTGCAGCTGAGTGCGCCGGCCTTTTGGGTTTTGTGAAGTAGAATCAAGGCTAAAAGTTGGATGGTAAATTACACATTTAGTCCTCTAATTTTACTTTTTGATGGTTTGTCTTCCCATTTTTCATTGAATTTAAATGCTGGGTATGATTGTTATGGGATTTCCCCTATGACATTCAATTAGCTGCCAAATATTAATTCCCATTTAATTTCTTGCATGGAAGCCAGGCTAATTACCCCCATTTGCTCTCAATTAACACTTGACAATACAGATCTAGTATATGTAATAGCTATACTTTTATGCGGTGTAAGGATAAGAGTTTTGTTCTCGTACTAAATGCGAACAAATTATTAATAAAAAAATGAGTACAAATACAAATCGAGTATAACATGTCTAATATACATATTTTTCAATTAGCTGACAAATATTAATCCCCATTTAATTTCTTGCATGGAAGCCAGGCTAATCACCCCCATTTGCTCTCAATTAACAGTTGGAGAATACCGATCTAGTATATGTAATAGCTATGCTTTTATGCAGTAAGGATAGAGTTTTGTTCTCGTACTAAATGCGTACAAATTATTATAAAATAAATTAGTACAAATACAAATCGAGTATAACATGTTTAATACACATATTTTTTAATTAGCTGACAAATATTAATCCCCATTTAATTTCTTGCATGGAAGCCAGGCTTATCACCCCCATTTGCTCTCAATTAACACTTGGAGATTACCGATCTAGTATATGTAATAGCTATACTTTTATGCGGTGTAAGGATAAGAGTTTTGTTCTCGTACTAAATGCGAACAAATTATTCATGAAGAAATGACTACAAATACAAATCGAGTATAACATGTTTAATACACATATTTTATTGAAACTAGTGAAATTTTATAATATTAGGTTAATAACATTATTGACTTGTGAATTATTGAATTCTTGAGATTAATTGCATTAAGTAATAAATGGTATCAAACTTTTGAACGTAATGTTAGCTTTGGAAGATAGATAATCTTACCGACTTACCCTGCAAGTAGTATGAGCCATTGGACTATAAAACTATAATTATTGTAACTTCTTAATTACCCGTCTGGGACGACTCGAGAATGATGCTAAACCGGACATTCGTGAATTTCTCCCCCTTAGCCAGTTAGCCTACCCATGAAGGCAAGCTTGGACAGTTTTACTGAGAGAGGTACAAAGAATTAAGTAGGGTTGTGGGGGTGGGGAATGGATCAGGTGAGTAACCTTATGGTGAGTAACCATGAGTAACCCGTCCACATCAGCATGACATCAGCATCCTCTCTCTCATGGAAAACCTTTAATTTTTCCCTCTTTAATATTTGACGGACGATTTCTCGCTCATTTTAAATTGAAATTTAATTTTTTTTGCACAGTTAGATCAGATTAATTGTGATCTTCAAAATGATATCCACTTTAATATATTTTTCGAACAAAAAAAATTGAGCCATTTTTTACCAGCCTATACCATATGGTATTGACTGGTATTGAAATAAAAGCATACATATGTTTTGAAAAACGTACCATGGTGGTATGAACAAACCAATACTGTAGGATGGTTGAATACATGATAGTAGAAGTATATTAATTGTAATTTACGAATTTTAACATTGTATACCACACAATACCACCCCGTACCAGGGTGGTATTGTATGGTATTGTGTGGTATTTTTTGGTCCTGTAATTTGTTCACCCAGAAATTTGTAGATCCAATAGATCATGATGAACTCGTCCCTTCTGTGCAAACGTTTTCAAAAACGAATTAAAAACGAAGAAGATACCATACAATACCACCCCGTACCAGGGTGGTATTGTATGGTATTGTGTGGTATTTTTTTGTCCTGTAATTTGTTCACCCAGAAATTTGTAGATCCAGTAGATCATGATGAACTCATCCCTGCTGTGCAAACATTTTCAAAAACGAATTAAAAACGAAGAAGATACCATATGGTATGCAGTTGGTACCGAGAGGCCAGAATTTTTTTTCCTAAAAAAATATTGAAAATTGATCTCATTTTGTAGAGCACGGTGAACTCGTTCCATCTGTGCAAAAAAAATTAAAATCCGAGTTAAAACGAAAAAGATATGAGTCAATTAAGAAAGCTAGTGAAAATAAAAATAGTCTTTAATTCTCCATCCTTAGATCTGGATTTTCTAAATGAAGGGTCCAGATTTGGTTATTGATGGGTGCATAACCCATGGTTATGCACCCTATCTTGAGCCGTGGGGGTGGGCTCAAGATAGGGTGCATAACCATGGGTTATGCATCCATCAATAACCAAATCTGAACCCTTCATTTAGAAAATCCAGATCTAAGGATGGAGAATTAAAGATCATTTTTATTTTCTCTAGCTTTCTTAATCGGCTCATATCTTTTTCGTTTTAACTCGGATTTTAATTTTTTTTGCACAGGTGGAACGAGTTCATCGTGCTCTACAAAATGAGATCAATTTTAAATATTTTTTTAGAACAAAAAATTATGGCCTCTCGGTACCAACTGCATACCATATGGTATTTTCTTCATTTTTAATTCGTTTTTGAAAACGTTTGCACAGAAGGGACAAGTTCATCATGATCTATTAGATCTACAAATTTCTGGGTGAACAAATTACAGGACCAAAAAATACCACACAATACCATACAATACCACCCTGGTACGGGGTGGTATTGTATGGTATCTTCTTCGTTTTTAATTCGTTTTTGAAAACGTTTGCACAGAAGGGACGAGTTCATCATGATCTATTGGATCTACAAATTTATGGGTGAACAAATTATAGGACCAAAAAATACCACACAATACCATACAATACCACCCTGGTACGGGGTGGTATCTTGTGGTATACAATGTTAAAAGTCGTAAATGACAATTAATATATTTCTACTATCATGTATACAACCATCCTACAGTATTGGTTTGTTCATACCACCATGGTACTTTTTTCAAACCATATGTATGCTTTTATTTCAATACCAGTCAATACCATATGGTATAGACTGGTAAAAAATGTCTCAATTTTTTTTGTTCGAAAAATATATTAAAGTGGATATCATTTTGAAGAGCACAATTAATCTGATCTAACTGTGCAAAAAAAATTAAATTTCGACTTAAAATGAGTGAGAAATCGTTCGTCAAAGATTAAAGAGGGGGAAATTAAAGGCTTTCCAGGAGAGAGAGGATGCTAATGTCATGCTGATGTGGACGGGTTACTCATGGTTACTCACCACAAAGTTACTCACCTGATCTGCTCCCGTGGGGGTGTATATATAATGTAATGATACTTGGAAAGTACAAATAAATAACGTCCAAATAAGTAGTAGTATATGTAAGCGTTGGTAAGGACACTTCACCGAAGTGAAAAATAGAGATATGAGTTCTCACCCCATACGAAGGTGATCACACTCGGCTTTCGATAGCTAAACCCAATAATGCTAGGGTTAGAGAGAGAATGAAGCACGTAATAAGTTGAGGTGAAATATATATTTTACCCAAAATTCAATGATATAAGAAGGTTAGTGGGTTGGTACAACATGTTTTAACAAGACAATTAAGTATATAAGAAAAAAATCCTTATTTAGAACAATATTTCAGTGAGAATGTATGTATATCTTGGCCAATTAGGTGACTAAATTTTGAGGCCACAAAAAAGAGGGAAAAAAGCTCAGAACCGAACCGGAGCACGACCCAGTAATGCGAATGGCTCGTATTTTAATGGTCCAACCGATATTAGACCATTTAAAAACCGTTAGAGAACTGGTACCTAATAAGCGTTATCAGTATAAATAGTGGACATTTCTTAATCAGAGCTCGTCTCTTTCCTTCGTAATTGTGAAATGGAAATAAAAATTCAGCTTGAGACCTCGACGTTTTTATTTTATTTCCATTTTCAATTTTCTGCAATTTTTTTTAATTAAATTTAACGGTTGAATGGCAAAAACCGGACGAGCGACTCGATCGGCTCGAGTGGTTAACCGCCTCGGTAGCTCGTCAACCGCTACATAAAACCGAAGCGGCTTTTAAATTGTTTCGAGCTGGTATTATGACTGAGTGGCGGTTTTACCGGTCGGACCGAGCGGCTCGGCTCAGCTTTAATAACACCGGAAAAAAGCGATCAAAGGGCTGCTAATTACTTCAGCTTGAGCGTTAAGAAATTGTAAAAAGTTTTTGTAACTGCCAAAGTTTGATGAGTATTATGTAAATGACTTGGCGAGCTAGCTGGATACAACTGTATATGACCCGCGCAAGTGGCTTTAATGGGTTCGTGTTCAAACTTCAAAGATCATAGTAAACTGGGCCTTATTGGGCTCATGTTTTATCCCCCTAACATTTAATTGGCTGAAATGGTTTTGTGCAAGCTCATTGGAGAAAGCCCATCACCAATGGTGCAGACAGCAGACCAAAAAAATTCTATCATCGGGCCGGCACTGAAGTGAAACCTTCTAATAAAAAGTTCTAATTTTGAAAAACCAATAATAACAATAATGAAGTTTCTAAATTGATATTTTAATTTTTTTTACGAAACTATCATTTGCATTAACAAGAATCAACAAGTTACATAATGCCGACCTCAGAAGAGAGTCAAACACAAAAGTTATACCCAGGGCCAGCCAATAAATCGTAGAGACATTGTTAGAGAAATAAGATGTAATTCAAACTAAATGTTAGTAATAAATTGAAAATGGCTATATCATTCTTATTTAAAATATAATCTCTCTACCGCATTGTTTAAGATAAAATTATCTATTAGCTATATAATTCGTGTAGTCTCCACGAGATAATTTTCATTCGTTGCCATAACTAACTAATCCATTAATGCTTTCTTGTGTTATTTTCTAAACAAATAGGACTTTCGGCTCCCAAATACGACTTTAACAATCATTATACGTGTCTTCTATATATGTATACATGAGAATATTGACCAATAACTAACACCGATATTGATTAATATAATTAAAGTCATTATCAAAT